GATGCTGTAGCAATTCACAACTGCTCGGGACTCAAATCGACAAGAATGTCCTGCCGTAATAGGTGCGGTACATTACACTCTAATGCAAATGTTTCAAAATCCAGACGGGTCTGTCCCAGGACAAACTGTCGTAGTGCGGTACTAACCTAAACCTGTGGGCAAAGATCTGAGAGGATTAAACAGAGCGATTTCATTTGATCTCGTTTACACCGCAGTCACACGAAGCTGAACAAGCTGCTAGGGAGTGGGGGAGAGGTTGTTATTTTTTTCCCCATTGTCGTGGTCTACTGATTCATGATAAAATCAAATACATGTACCTGTAACCTACACTCGAATGAACAGTTGGTTGCATCCCTGATTGAGCAATGAAGACCCACAATATACCACTACCAGGCGCTTCAGAATACACGTACCGTATATATTCGACCATGTGGATTTTCATGATTGGTTGGGGACCGGTTAGACTGACTGGCCTCTCTCTGTGCACCCTTATTGGAGCACAATCAGGTCGTTAGGAATGTGAAATAATGCACTTGATCCCTAACAGGACAACGTGTAGAGAAGAATGTATAATTTATTGAAGTAAAAAACTAACTCCTCCAGGATTTCCACCTCGCAAACCTATGTGTCGTCGGTGCACTCGTCCGTCAGGCAAAGTTGTAAATAAACCATTGTAGCCTACTTGAAATGCTTTAAGTGGTCTAGAAGTCTTCCATTTATGATCGCCATTGAGTGACGACAAGTACTACCCACGTCTAAAAACAAAACACAAATAAAACAACAACAACAATAACAATAACAACAACAACAACAACATGATCAACAAAGGAAATCAAGAGGATCGCAATTTCATAGGCCTAAAAGCTGGTAAGTATTAAAATAATCCCAGACGTCGCATCGATCATGTTTAATGGTTAGATCTAACTCTTTATCGTGCCAACAAAAACAAAACAAAAGAAATTGAGTTCAATTTTCATCCCAGGAATATGTCAAAAGAGTCCCCATCTGTTTTTGCTGCAATGTTTTCATTTGTACCAGTCACTTTGGGTTGTCCCTGACTGGTGGGGTCGTAACAGTCTGAACTCAAAATAATCTAAATTACGGTATGTAAATAGG